TTTCAATATTTTTACTCTTCCGTAGTGTTGCCGGTCTTTTTCACTTAAATATAGCATTGTTTTGCACTTTGCAGAAGCCTAAGTTGAATGCCACAATAACGTTTTAATCTCTCGAACGTGCACAAGTACCATCTCAGCATTATTTATAGCTCTTTGCTTGTCTGCTTAAAGGTATTAGAAACGATTTGCTCACGTTTCATGTCAGAGATTCAAATTATATGTTTTATAATATTTTGTGGTTGTTGTTCTTCTTCATAAACATTTCTACGAAAGCACCTGCTTTTATCTTTACTCCTGTATTAACACAAGTCATGTAATCCAGTTCTTGACCTTCACGAAAAGACCTTAATTAAAGATTTAAAATCCCCTACCCATTTGACTTGTTTGATTGACAATATTGGTCTATAAAGCTTAGCGTACATAAATAAGGGAAACCCCCTCGAACATGTAACGGGTTCTTTTTTAACCTTAAAATCATTGATCTTTCTTCCTATATTAACCCCATGTAATTAGTGCTTCTTCCGGTATGAACGTGAAAAGCAGCCTTCAATTAGAGTATCCAGGTTAATATCAAATTGCTATAAGAATAGCTGCCTTTGATGTCGTAATTTTGTAGTCGCAAATCGTTTGGTTTAAGTAGTGAGTAATGATGTTGCGACGAATCCAGCTCGAAGTCAAGAACGAGGAGAGGACTTGCCCCTTTTCTTCCTTGCAATTTCTGATGTGGGGGCGAGGGTCTTTCCGGCAGCGTTTGATCCCCTAGAGATCGCTGCTTATTTAAAAGTTTAAGCTTCTACAGTAATGATTTTTCTTTTCCTGTACCTTTATTGCTGAGGACTTTATTTTTCAGGAGTTGGGGAAAGGGGCAGGGAAGAGTGTCAGTACCCTAAATTTAGACGTTTATTACTTGATTGCTGTCTAATATCCTGGTTATAATTGAGAAGTCATCCTACAAACTATATATTACATTAATGATTGATCTGTACATTTACGAAGAAAGATAACACTTTGAAATGCAAGCGACGGAAACTGCTCACTCCAGTTGATCAGAAATATTCAGGTTAATATCTAACTTAGATTTGAACCCACGCAATTTCTTCAAATCCAGTTTCTTTTTCTTCACTGAGTCCTTTTTTTTTCTTCTCCCTTTTGAGGTTTACACCGTGCTACTGGAAAGGTTCGCATCTCTATTTTCAACAGCCTTTCCATTATTCAGGAACTAGTTTATCCAGAGACCGCGAAAAGTGTATCATGATCATGCACAATTTGTATGCCTGAGAAGGGGTTTGAAAAGCGATGGTTGCTTTTTATATCAAGACGGTTAGGAACATTAAATTTTATAGGGAGGAGAACATTCATGAAAGGGAAGAGCTTAATTGAAAAGAAGAAAATAAGAATTCAATGTCAAAATGTCAGCGATCAACATTTCATCCTGATTTCTACCATCACAATATCCATGTAGATGAATATCTTGAATCAGTGAGCGCTTCGTTCGACAAATGATTTTTCTCTCCATTGATTGTTTTCTTTGAGTGAGTTCTTCTTTCGATGCAATGCGAGTAACAAGGCTAAATCTACCAGTCTTACTTCCAAATGAGATGATTTACTCTTCATGCGGTCGAGAGTAACATTCTACATTTCAAAAGGATATATTTCTTGTTATTCCTTGATGGTTAAAGAGCACATTTTATTTGCTCCAAATGCAGTCCTGATTGTTTTTCTTTAGAGTGGGGTTTTGGGTTATGCTAAAGATATTTTAGAGTGTTTGGTTTAAGGTTAAAGTTTAAAATTTGGTTAGTATTAGAAATTAACCGCGAAGCACCTGCCGCGTTAGCATGTGTTGTATCCGTTTCATGCACACATTTACCGCGAGAAGGTTAACTTAATCAGGGTGTTCTTGAATTATGCATCTATGCTTGGTGATTGCATGCGTTGCCAATATGGGCTGTACCTCGTTAGCGACTGCTAGATAACTATTCATTTCGATGTGGAATAAATACGTTACCTAGCTCTGTATCAATACGATACTCCACAACCATCTGAGAACCGGAGAAGTTCCGGGGCTTAAATTACCCGCCATTTTGCATGACATGCAATTGCCTGAGAAGATAGCGGAGTTTACATCCCGAAATAGACCCGAAGAAAAGCGGGTTAATGAATTCGACATTCGTGTGTGGACTTGGCTTGCCAATGATCGAACAAACTGTGTCACCTATTTTAAGCTCTCTGTCTCTCATTCACACTCTCTCCCTACCTTCCTCTATCACTGCCTATTTCTCTCTTCCTTCACTTTACCCCTCTTTCCGTATCTTCTTTTCGATTCTCACCCCCCACTCTCTCTCCCATCTGTTCCATTCGCTATTCTCTCTCTACTCAACACCTGTATCTCTCTCATCCTCTTTTTTTTTTAATGACATCTCTCTTTGTTTCCCCCTTCTCTCTCGCTCTCTCTCTCTCTCTCTCTCTCAGTCTTTCTCTCTCTCTCTCTCTCTCATTCTCTCTTTCACTTTCTCTCCATCTCTGTCATTATTATCATGAAGCCTTTTCAGCTGGAGGGTGAATCGTATATTGAGCATACTACTAAACGTCTCGAAGGAGGGTTTTCCGTTTTTTTTTTAACTTGTCAAAAGGCAGAAACTGAAAACCCCTTTATTTTGTTTTGCTCCTATTTATAACCTCCTCACGACCATCAGATACTGTTTTGAACCATTAATTGCACATCCTAATCATATCAAACCAAGGGCATTGTCACCATAGACTTGTTTTTATTCATACTTACTTTCTTCGAGTTTTGTTGCGATCGTGTCTTCTGACCAGATTAAAATTGTTACTTTGATTGTTTCCGATCAATTTGTTTTCCGAACATTTTAAACAAGTGGGAATGTGTGGGCAAGTGCGTGTGTAATTAGTATTTCGGGCCATTTTACGTGATGTCATAACATTCACGGCACGATCTGGTAAACATAATTGCGCAATAACTTGTTTCATGTAGATGTTATTCAATTAAACTGTATCTTTTCGTGTTTGGGAAGAGAAGAGAAGAAAGAAAGAAAGAGAAAATGTGAGTGGCAGGGAGAAAAAGAGATGAGGGAGAAAGAGAGAAGACGAGGGAGAGAGGGGGAGAAACAGGAGAGAGATGAGATAGATAAAGAGAGAAGATGACAAAGGATGAAAATGAATGAGATATAGGACATGAAATAGATAACAAATAGAGAGAGGGGTACAGAGAGAAGAGACTGAAGGGCAAAGAGGAGAGAAAGAAAGAAGGATGATGTGATACATGAGAAGAGAGAAGATGAGAGAGCTAGACGAATGACAGGGAGAGAAATCGTGAGTGGGGCAGATAAAAGACATCTAGATGGGGGCGAGAGAGAGGGGGGGGGAGAGGAGATAAGAGATAATTAAAGAGAATAATAAAGAGAGAGAGAGAGCATGCAGAGATTAGACGTCTACAATAGTGTCTTTTTAGTTTATTAATCATGTCCTTGTGCAAAACATGAGGACTGTATATAGTGTCTATCATTGTTATGAACGCTACCCTAGTTTCAGAATGACCATTAGATTTTATTGGTTTTAAAGTATATCTTCTACTTCGCTCAACCCACCTGATCCCCTTATTATTCTCTTCAATCAGTCCTCCCACTTGTCTTGGACGTGGGCAGACGACGATATTTGTTTTCATCTCCTCGACAATTTTTAACTTCAATCGGTCTTTTCATTCCGATATCAAGTGTTATTCTTTGCTTTGTTGTTGATGTTGATACTGAATCAGAAGTTCCTGTTATTGTCGTTGCTAAAAACTTGGGAGGGTTTATTTTAAGAAGGAAGACGTCATAATGTTTGATGATAATGACATATTCAAACTATTTATACGCTTTTTACCGAACAAAACAAAAACAAAATATCCGTATGGGTAGAGCGAGTTTGATTTGCTCCGTGGGAGCTACACCGCCCACCTCCCCCTCCCCCTCCTGGCTTGGATATAAGCTACATCTGTGGGTATAAGTTTCCTTTCTATACTCTGTGACGAAGAAGATAAACATATATCTCACTAATGAATCTATGCACAATGGGTAAAATAGTGAACTAGCTTTTGGCGCGCTTTCAAAAATGAAGGGGAAAAATTCACCGAATTACTTGGAGGAAACGAGGGGAAGCAGAGCTCATATTACGGATTTGAAATGAAAGGTTGCGCGTGTAATCAGACATGGAGATACCTGGAATCTCGTTAAGTGTTTGTTTGACGTGAAACTTGAGCTTATGTTTGCCCCGATCTACTTCTGTGAGTGTTCGCATCTTTCTTGAGGCATATTAGAGCAAATATACATTCACAATGTAACAGGCCTTGTAGACGGTTGAACGCTGCATGGCAATTCAGCCACATTCATTATGTATGTGTATATATTGGCTACAATCAAAATCTAGCACATTCAATCTGGGATGTAATCATAGCTCCCAACCAATGCTATTTTGGAGGAATAACCCCAAGGAAGAAAGGGTACCAAGGAAGAAAAGTAATGTTCTATACATATTTCTGAATTGGGGTTTCCACGGATTGTTATCTATGAACGTGTATTAATATTTAATTTTTGTATATTTTTCTTTTTAAAATATTTTTATCTGATTTCGGAAAAAATACAACAACAACAATTCCTAACTGTTGGCCTTCATGCTATTGTTTTGAACCCTAGATCCTCTTTTTTTCTGAAAATTATCTGTAAAAAGTATATAAAATATACTTTATTCCTAATTTTGCCTTGAGAGACTTTTAATTTCGGTTGTGAAAAAGTATTTTCAAATGCGTTTTAAAAAATGTGATAATTATTGTAGTGTTATTCAAATACGTGAAACTCATGATTTCTTTTTCCTTTTCATCTTTGACTTTGAGCATATTAAGAAGCTACTTTCAGGGTGCTAGTGCTTTATATATCCAAATGGAATATATATTTTACTTGTGGGAATAATATTGAAATGTATTTGATCTCTCATTTCCCTTACAGATCCCCTACAGAAGCGCCCTAAGAAGGGCGGACTGCTTCGATCGGGGAGACAGCGAACCTCGAGCTTTCTGGATAGCCTCAGGGATATGACAAGGGATAACAAAGGTGAGAATTTAGAATATGTATAGCTTTTTTGTAGAATACACAGGATATTTTAAAATATATACACATGTATATATGTATATTATATCAGTTACTGTTCACTTATTGGTTACATTATCTACATGTATCTTCCAAGACATGCATTTCATTTACATCATATCTATTTATATGTATGTTATTATATAAATATGAATATAAATATTAAGTGTATATATATATATATTGCAAAAGAAAGATTCATTTTGTACGGTAACATTTACAGAATTATCATTGTAAGATGGGGTGAATATAAAAGAAGGATCTGTTTGAATCGGAACAGCATTTGGACAAGTGCTTTTTTTGTTTACATATTTCGTCTAAACCCTAATATAAATTTCCATCATGAATAGAGGAAATGAAGAGGGTCTGAACCATTCCTTTGGGAAATCATACTAATAACGCTTTCCCAATTAGTTTGATATTTTTATTCATCTCAGTGTCCTTAATCTCCCCTTTCAGTTCATTTGTTTATGGTATTCAATAATTTAGATTCTCCAGTGTGCTCTGATCTGTATCCTGGCACTCTTTCAATAATCAATATGCGGCTGTATATTTTAAATCCTTAGATACAAGTTTACAGCATTTTGTAATGACTTGTCTTCTAAAATGTGTACGCCATTACTCGAAAATCCAACCGACCCTGCCAAACGTGATATCCCTTGGAATAAATTCTAACAACTATACCTTTATCTGCCTGTTTTCCTTTTAATTATTCACAAGACCCATTTTCTCTCCTCCCGGAAGGTCCATAGTAGAGCGTGTTGTCACGTTGTCTTGCAAGACATGACATGTTGTGGAAATCGAAAACGTGCTAGAAGGTAGATTTAAGGGCCTCGTGAAATCTCCTGAGAAATGATCAGCGCCATTTTGAAATGAGATCAAAAGACAGTTCTGTAATCATAATATAAATTCGTTGGAGGGGTTATAGATACATTTATATGTGTTTAATGATGATATATCCCGATTTATTCTTAAGTGATGATTGAATGCATGCATCAATCAGTATACGATAAGTTGGGTAATTATCTCAAAGCGAATTTGTCTTAATCGTGCTAGAAATTAGAATGAACATCACACTGTGTAGACACTTGAAAATCTTTAATTACACCTGAAAAGGCACACGCGTGTTAGAGGTGGACAGCCTTTGCTGATCTACAGCAGGAGAACAGTAGCATATCTAGAATTTCTTCAAGCAGGGGTAAATTTTCCTCCAGACGGGAGAAGGAAAGTACCTCGACAGCCCCGCATGGGTACCCAGGCCTACATTATAATGGAGGATGGGGGCTTCAAACTGGAGATTTAGTACCATGCGGGCTTAGCACATCTCCTGCCATGGCATTTGTGTATACAATCTCAAAGTTCCCCACATATTTCGATGAATATATTTGTCGATTAATTAACAGTGAAATGAAAAAAAAATTATTATACATATTGATAATAAACGATGCAGTATAAATCATTGGGAATTAAAGTGAAGAATCAACTTAAGATGAAGACATGAAACCTGCACACATGGGACTGAGGCACGAAAAGGCATATTCATACAGTGATGTCAAACGATGACCGTGGTAACACGAAGTAGCAACTTCGAGAAAGACTCGACACCTTGTTCTATGTTATCCACCATTTATCACCCCTGATCGGAAAACCTGGTTTTTGATGTCGACTTGAATGTGTGGGTAGCTGAAACCATCTTGCCATTTTCACGGTCCGTGGCTTCCTCCATCATCCATCTCGTTTCCCACCCGGAGCCGTATCGGCGCAGGCTTCACTGCGTTCCTGATGGATGGGATCTCTGCGGCCTTATGCCCGTTGCCCTTTTCAATGCTACATGCACGTATACACGCAGTCATGTGCTCGCTCGGTGCCATGCTTACAAGGCGCCAGATATATGGCGGATTGTTGAACAGATTGAAATGGTTAACAGCTTAACGCAATTCAAAATGTTTTCACCGAAAGCACAACACATGACAAGAAAGCTGCCAAACACGTAGGAAAAGGTTGACATCTTCATATTAATCTCGTTGGACCTCGTTCTGCGTGCACCCACATACACAGCCACAAAATATGATTATTAGGCCTAATGGGCCGAACAATAATTTTTCGAAGATGTTGTCGAATCTCTGTTTTTTAAAAATCAATACTACACAGCAAACAAATGACAGAAATTATAATTTTTAATATTTCATTTGCTTATTCTCATTAACAAGAAAACACAAAGCTCTATTGCAATAATATACAACTTAAATAATTTGCACAGATCATTATAAAACAGTGCTTGAATAGGGTGAATAGAGATGCAGAATTTTACCAAAGCAAACAAAAGAATCGTTTAAAAGATTCTATTTGGCTGGGGTAATAAAAAGATGTAATTTGGGGTTCTACCAGCCTTACATTTAGTAGGTATGCTTTCATCCACTCCTGTGGACTTTCTCCAGCTAAAAGATTCTTGGCACAGATGTTTTTGTAACTACTGTCTATAGATCAGTGGGGCAATGATATCTATATGTGATAGTGAGTAGCTAGAGTCCCTACTTAATGAATAATTAAACCTTTTTGACCAATATTTATATCAAGTGCTTGTAGCCCGCTTGCAAAAATATAGGCCTACGTTTCCGATACACTACCTGTGTATAATGAAGAGGGCAAGGTTAATCGAAACAATTATGTTGACAGGATATTGATTTGTTACAAACTATAATGTATATTTTGATTGCTATTTTTCACTTTTTTGTTTTTCTTTCAGATGCCAACTCGGCGCCATTGGTTTTCGGCATTGCCCTGGAGAAGTGCATCCGAAACGATCGTGAGATGAGGTTATACGAGGCAAATAAGCAGAGAGAAAGGCGGGAAAGTTTGGATTTAGCCCAACCCCTTCTGAACCCGTCAACCCTCAACCATCTTACTGAACATTCCATGGCGGTAGGTACCACGTAATTATCATAATTATGGAGTGTTTGTTATTTTTCACAACCAATGTTCATATTTTTATATTTCGTAGCTGCCTTGATTTTGGGAGTTATTTTAATGTCAATATTTTGTCCTACCGCCTCTCTTGGCCTCTCGATCTATGTTAGCTAGCTCTCTCTCTCTTTCTCTCTTCTTATTTCTCTCTATCCCTCTCTTTTTCTCTCTCCCTCTTTCTCTCTCTCTCTTTCTCTATTTTTCACTCTCTTTAATACACACGTTTTTTTAAAAACTATTTCGCTCTGTTCGTCTGTAGCACATTTCCGCACAACACCAACCAATGTACACACACACACACACACGCACACAAGCTTTTATCTCTTTTTTCTCTCTCATACATCTTTACGATATCTTTCTTTCTCTCTTATAACCGGTTATGTATGCAGCACTTTAACGAGTGACGTCACGATTGGTATGATCTAGATGACTTCCCATGTAAAGTTCGTGATTTTTAGGTTCGATAATTTTCGTCCTAAATACCCTTCGAATCAGCCCCAACATTGCTTCCTTTCGCCTCATGATGACGCATCCGATTCTTTGCAGACGTCCTCTCGAATCCATCTAAATGATGTAAATTTGTGAGATCTGCTTTCCCGCCATCAACTTCAGTATGAAGGAAATGTTTTGGTCCATAGCATTCCAACGCGATCCCTCCTGTAATTGAGTGCGCGTTACTCACAGATCAACGCACTCGTGCGTCGCTCGGCGAACACAAGACGAGGGATGACGAGATCGCTTGACGTAAATACAGTTTTGAGAAGACGCTCTCTTGAATGTGTTACCAACACAAAAAGGGGTAAACCAAACAAAAATGTTGAGATGACGACGAGATGATGACGTGGAAATTATTTGACTCTTAGAAGAGTGAAGTCGTCTAAATATTATATAGAAGTAGAAGTAGTAGTAGTATATCAAAGTAACCAAATAGAGGATAGAAAATATGAGAAGGTGACCTTCATCAGAAATAAAATTACCCTTTGAGAAATGAAAATGTATTCATAAATAGTCGCCTTCCCACGATGCATCTCCGCCCACGTGATTGACAATGGTGTATTTTCGGTCGAATGTAATGGGTGCACATTCTCCGTGTCTCATATTTCAAGGCCGAACTCCTTTCGGCTCATAAATAATATTTTTGAAAGCTCATGGGGGAAAATGATACAATAACTGATGCGAGAAAGGATGTAATGTGATGGAAATAGACTTCTGAAAAGCAACTTTGATACGAGTATCCGAGCATCAGTCGGTGCAATATTCGTGTTCATTTGGGGACTGTGGGAGAGCGAAAAGTTTCCCATAAATAGCCGATGTTTTACCCTAGAATAAGAAGGAGTATGCTAAGTGTGGGTAGGATACAACCGCTGACCTTTTCGTGGTGTATTCAAGCGAAAACCAGTGTTTCCGTTGAAGTTGAAGACGATTTCAGCTGAATATATGACTAGATTTGGCCGTCATTAGAAATGACGACGATTGTTAAGTAAGCTGAGAGGTACTGGCATCATTTTGAATAAAGAAACAGCACTATCACGACTACTTTTGAAAAATCAACTCAGGGGAAATGTCAAACCATATTGTATATCAACATAAATTATGTTGGGATGACGTAGTAGTCATTGTAATTTTCGCACATTTATATAAAGGTGATGGTCACGGCTATTAGAATTATCTGGATTTAATTTTTCAGGAGTCTTTGCGATTGTGTTAAACATCCTCTTCGAAATTACCGTCATAGAACATAATATCGATATTATTGATATGCAATAGAGCAGTGTCGTAGGTGTCCCCCATTGTATAGTCTCCACCAACACACACACATACTCACACGCCCACTCACGTACAAAAAAGTTGTTGATCGTCGTGTATCATCCGACTTGTCTCTTCCTGTTTTCCAACTAAGTCTGTCTCGACATTTTTGTCTGCACTCATCTCGTTCAGCAAATGGACGGAAATCTCGAGGGACGAGGTATGCGCACCCCCCCCCCCCCACACACACACACACACGCACGATTTGAAAATGGGAGAATAAATCAAATGTCACCTCACTTTGTGCCATTTGTTGTATCCCCCAAAAATGTATATATATATATATAAAATAAAAAAATAACCCAAACCGATCTCAACATGGCCTTTACAATTCATAATGTATTCTAATACTTAAGTACTTGGGCATCCTCGAAATCTGGAAAATTATGAGCCCTTTGCGTTTTAAGAGTGATTTCCTCCCATGCCCTGCCCTCAATCTTTTCTTTATATATATTTTTTTTTAAATCTGTTTCCTAAATGTTGGCCCTTCTGCCTCATGCGCAAGTGCGACCACGTCAACGACAACGGGAAATACAATCGGCGGGGTCCGTTGTACATTAACTTGCTTTCTGCAGAGGCTCCTGTTAATGTGTTGACGTGCCAAGATAACTAGCCCCCGTCACACGAGGACATCTTGACTCGATAAAAACGGGATCCTTGTTTGTCGATACAGAACTCTTTGTTGCGATTGATCATGACCTGCGATTGGTCGTGGTTCTTTGTGCAAAAGGGGCCCAGATGATGCATGTATCCATCTCGTCACGTTAGTGATAAGAGATGAAAGGGAACGTGTTGAGTGATACGTTGCCGACAAGAATGTTACAGCACTCGAAGACGTTAGTGACATCCGAATGGAATTCCAAAGATTTCATCTTTAGAGTTTCAGTTAGTCAATCCCTTATCATTTTCACGGCATCCCTGATCTCCAACTATCCGTTTACACTCTCTTAAAATTTCATTGAGGGGGGGAGGGGACAAAGTGATGGGCATTCTGCAGGGTAGCTACGTGCGCTTTTTATCTATCATTGACTGACATATGACATGTCCATCTCCATGCTTACGAGTGCGCTGACGTATTGCAGGTCCAGCCGTAGAGGTCGTTCAAAAGGCACTGAAGTTATTAGAGGACACCGCATCGGCTGTCAGCAAGAAGGCCTTTACTGCCTCTTACGACGTTATGAAGTTACGTATTAGATGAAAAGAGAGGGAACGAAGATTCTGTGCATGAGGGGGGAGTCATATCATTATATTTGTTCACGTCTCTCCTGTGTTTTTTTTTTTTTGTGTTTTTTTTTTTTGTGTGTTTTTTTGTGTTTTTTTGTGTGTTTTTTTTTTGGGGGGGGGGGTAATTTATGGGGTGAAACGTGCCCCATTCCCCCACAGCTGCCCTATACTACAAGTTCAAAACAAAAGTTGCGCGGTTAAATTCATTCGTCTAAAGCAAACAAACTTTCAGTAAGTTGGAATAATTCTATCGTGATGCCTTTTTGTTTCAGAAGTTTAAAATCCGTCTTATCGGGGTAAGATGTTGAATCAGCGTCAAACCCGCAATCAATTAAAGCAGGGGAATGACATTTAAGGGAGGGATGGTTGGGCCTTTCCCACATCACAATCGGATTATCTCTCACACTCTGCTTTATACCATCAGGAAAACATTATCACATTCCATTTGCCTTCGAACCTTTCACCGCTAATTCTTCGAAATTCTACCGGCTAAACTGGTCTCAAAATAGCCGACATTGAAGCATCCTTAGCAGACAATAATCATCGGATTCCGTAAGTGGCCGAAAGGCGTGTGTATTAGCAACTGATTAGCATATACTATACTATGGTCGCATCGGATGGCCTGAGAGAGATTTGCGCGTTAATCGGGAGTCTTTTGGCGGTTCTAGGAATCGCAGCTACGAGGTTTACTCTTCATCCGTCTCTACTTACTTGTAACAGGCGTAAAAGAAGCGGTGAAACCGGAAGGATGAGAGGCTGAAGAAGAAAGCAAAATCCGACGGGAAAAGCTCTTAAAGTGGGAGCTTGTGCTACTCCAATACAATGCAATGATACATATTTTAGTGGATGAGCGACTGGGCTGTCGATCCAAATGGTCTGTGGTTCGAGTCCCATCCACGGCACTAACGTCCTTTACCATAACATCAATGTATAATGTTTCCTTGTCTCATTTTCTGTTGCTTCCCCGCACATTTCTTCATAGGGTGTTATCAGATATGAGTATCGATGGTAGAAGGAAGACAAAATAGATTTTCAGGATCAGAAAAAGGATGTTTGGAATAATAAAGGGACTTATGCTTGTTCTGTTTCATATCCTGAACACTCCGATGCGTGTGCGTGTATGAACGACTGAACGATTGCCTAAAAAGGAGAGAGTGATCAAAATTACTGCCCAAGTAGACAATTTTCTTTATCTTGTAGTATTTCACTTGTAAATACTTTTTGTTCATAACCTCATTTGTGTTTCACCTATATAGTAAAGCGTAGGCGGACTCCTTACACACGGGTGAAAATTCAGCTGAGTTCATGATTTTTTTCCCCAAAACAACCTACCTCATGTTGTGTAATTCCATGGATGTAATTACGTTAAAACTGTGTACATGTATAAACAATCATAGCTTTGCCAAACAGCATCTGCTTACTCCCCAGCGGTTTTGCATGTATCGCATTGCTGAAACATGAAGATCATGTCTTTTGTTTTTCTCGCGATTGTTTATGTTTTCTGCTCCGTTAATGTTACAAATCAGCAAACGGACACGAACCAAACACCAAGCTGAAACTGTGCCATGAAATGTCAAAAGTATACACTACTCGACAATCACAAATTTGACTTGTTTTCACCTCAAAGAAGCTTTGCCCACGTAACTATAAGGCTCGATTACTTTAAATTAGACATGCATGACCTTTGTTTTAGTCGTTCTGTCATTTCAAAGACTCGTTTAGATAGGAAGTGCATGGTAAACCGCGGTGGTTGATTTCTTTCTTCTTAAAGATGAAGTTGAGTTCTGGTCATGTGATTGCATTGTGAAAGAAACGTTGTGGAATCGATCAGAAAAGGTTGATCATCTAGCATATAAGTATTGGTGTGTACTGCAAGGTTCTTGAATCATCAAAATGATGAGAAATTTGGCCCAGTCTTCGTAAAGTAAGTTACAAGCACTGTACACAAAAAGATGTATATGGGACTACACGAACATGTGGCATCAAAATCTTTCCTGATTTGTATGATGTTACATGCCATATTCAGAATATTAAAGCATTTGAAGAGCCATGCTTTTCAGGGAACATTTTTTCTCTGATGTTCTTTCACACTTGCATAATACAATGATAACGCTCACAAATTATTTGTCACCTCTTCCCAGAACTCAATGTTCACAAGCATGTACATGAGTGGCGACTACGCTCAACAACGGTCCCGCGTTTATTCACTGAGATCTATTTTATGAGACTGATACATTAATGTGAAGCGTGCTACGCTTTAATATTTCATCTTTTAAAAACGCTTCGGTTTACTGCTTCATAATTATCTGAACGAGGCTCATTTTTTTCTCCAAAAGCATTTACATTTTGAGAGGGTAAAGTAAAGTACTGGTACGGATTTCATCAAGTTTGAGTTCAAGTCGCTACATTACCTTATGTTAATAGAATTCATCTCGTCTATTTACACCATTAATCTATTTTGTTTCCAGAGAGAGAAATAAATAAAACCGAAACGAGACGGCAGCATATGTTGAACAAACAACGTGTTCCGCTAACATTACTCTAATGCTTAAAAGAGCCACACTACCGTATCATATCTTACAACTTTGTCTGGACTATTGTTGTCGATTGAATGTATTTGATAGAAAATCCTGTTGAAAAAAAATTATAAGAAAAGAATCACGCGTGCCTATTCTGTTAATATCATGAGAAAATATTTTTCACCGTGCCTAGGTATTAACAATAATATTACCTGTAACAAATAAACGTGTTTGTGTTTTGTTTTTTGCGCTTTCTTGATTTTTGTTATGAAAGCTCGTGCACTGCAAAGAATTCTACATTTCAATGTTTATAGATATTAGCTGGGGGCGCCAGAGTATTTGTTTAATAGAGGGGAACTGATTTGAAATATGACAGAGCTGAAGAAGAAAAAAGAGTGCTGAAAAACATGGGACAAGATAGGAAATTCTCAGATTTTTCTGGACAGTTATACAGTCATGTCTTCTAAATATCAAGTAACAATAACAAACGTATTCAACATAAGATGGTAATGCAACATAAGGTGACAATGCACTCAACATGAAATAATCATAATAATATACATCAGATTATAGTATATTCAGCAGAAGGTTCACAACTCAAGCGAGTTTTTCAGCCAACCAGTGGGCTTTATTTAATGAAAGAAGTACGCCAGACACAAGCCAGTCATGCAGAGCTTGCTAAGTATTCTCCTCAAATCAGGCAAATAATTGTCAAACAAGGTGGGACGGTTAGGTGTAATAATACAAATTGATCCTTTATTCAAATAAAAAAAAACAAGATTGTTTACTTACCAGAACGACATGAATCCCGGAGAGATCTCAGTTTGAAAGATATTAAGTAAGGAGTGGGTGTCTTTGATAGAGAGATCATGTTAAAATGCAGTATTTACTCAGTATTCACTGGCGGATTTTAGGAGGCACAACCGGCCCGTGCACAAACACACAACTTCCCGCTCTTAAACACAATCTGACATTTCTTAATTTCACATTTGTTTGCATTGTTTTTTTTTTGTTTTTTTTGTATTTTGTTGTTGCTTGTTAGATATTTTCGGTATTGTGCCCCCCCCCCCACCCCCGGACAGAAATATGAATCCGCCCCTGCACTACCCTGCACGAGTCGAATCATTACCTCAAAAGATAGAGCAAATCCATGCCAACTTCTAGCATAATACCTATTGAATTATTAATATGTGCCTGCCTTGTGAAAATGGTGAAAATGCATTCCAGAGACCTATATAATACTGCCATGGTGGTAATTGCACATTCAAATCCACTGTGTGTAATAAAATAGACAATAAAATGCCATTTCAGAATGATAGCGCTTATCAAAGGATTGGTTGAGAACACGTAATCGGACATCAGAAAGCGCTAATGACCGGTCATTAGAATTTTCCAATGTTCGGCCTGATAATCATTTTTTATCCAATTTGGCCAGTCGAGTCTAGATTTAAGGAATATTGGATGGTTGTGATTTATCAAATGAAATAGATCCACGTCACCACTTCATAAAACAATAGTGTATACACCATTAACATGATAATTATGCAGGAATTAGTATCCACTCTCGGTACATTCGAAAAAGTCCAAACACCTATGACTATCTTTTCGTGTGTCGGACTCTGCCGAACGTACCTTATGTGGATAATTATTGTTTACTACATGTACATATCAAACTCCCTCATATATTATATCATCACTTGTATGTCATGTACTCTTTGATAATTATCATGTTCACATAGCGTTCCATTGACCCCAGGGAACCTTCGTGACTTCAATACATGTGATACGTCCACTGTACTTTTTTTCGCTGGTTTGGGGTAGAGGGATGGATAATATTAAGATTTGTATTCTTTTTTTTAAATATATGATTTAATTGAGAAGCAAGAGGGTCGAGGACTTTGAGATGGTGGAATGATTAATCACTTAAATTATAATTACCTCTTTGTAAACCATTACTCTCTCGTTCATTCCTTTTTCTCCCCCCCCCCCCCCCCCCTCTCTTTCTTTCTCTCTCTCTCTCTCTCTCTCTCTCCTCTCTGAAGTATGAAGCTCCTTTGAAGCAAATGAAAACAAATATACTTTAAGAAGTTCATTTAGTCGAATTGATATTCATTTCATGTTTTATTTATTTCCTATAGATTGAGGTATGAAAAAAATTATTGAATATTTCATCCTGCATTTTGGCTTTTATTACAAAACTACTATGATTAAATAAAAGGCCCTAGTGTACTGGTTAATGTGAAATCATTAAATAGGCCCTACTCTTAGGTTATTTCTTAAAGTTTTAAGAAATTTGCCTTAATTGGTACACCTTTTATCTATACTTCAATCTTCATTTTTGTTTAATCTTGTATGCTTGTATTGGCGCTCTATTTTGCGCACAGTGTTCCATCTGGACAACATAAACCAAATACAGATATAATAATAACAGTAAAACATTATGCAGTTTTCACTATGGGTGAGAGAGGGCGCCCGTGCACTGAAAAGTAGATAATAATAATATATCTATAATAATATGGTAAATACAGTTTGGGATTTTGTTATCTGTTAAGTAGTACATTTCCTAAATAAATACAAATTCCTTATATGTTACTTTCCCCCACCCCCCCCCCCCCCGCCCTCCAGCCTACCCAACCATGGCTGTGGTTATTCGTTCTGTTGCGAATGAGTGGATATTAAATACTCTGTAATTTAATGTGAAAATAAAAATGAAATATGAAATGTTAATCTGATAACCCAAAAAATATTTAAATGATTAATTCTCTCTACCCCCCCCCCCCCCCTTCCCCCTCTTTTTTCTCCCTGCAGAGTTCGAACAAGCTGGCCCGTTCTATCAGTTCCCCATCGTCATCACGCAATCGAAACCCCGCCGTCAACTCGGAATCCAACGCCACGCTACTGGACGCGCTCTCCCTCTCCACCGCGGCGATGGACGAATGCCGGCAGATCCGTCGCAAGAGTCTGGCGCCGCTGGAACCCCAGGTCCCGAGGTTGGTGTCCCAATGCTTCAGGCACCTGGAGAAGCACGGGGTTCAAGTCATAGGCATCTTCAGGGTTGGCGGATCAAAGAAGAGGATTCGACAGGTAGGTGGAAAATACTGGTGTAGTAGTGATGATGCTGATGACGATGATGATGATGATGATGATGATGACGACGACGACGACAACGATGATGATGATGATGATGATGATGGTGATGATGATAATTGTAATAATGATGATGATAAAACTAACACTAATAATTATTTAGTTTTAAAAATTGACAAAGGAAGCGGCTTCTAAAATCTGTAATTTTTGCTTCCAGATTTATGTTTTTTTGTGTTGTTGTGTTGTTTTCTTTGTCACAAAGTTGAGTACGTATTATGGTGACTGTTATTGTCACCGACGGCGCCATTAATATTTTCTTGATAATAAGAAGGCTGGGCAGCATACATAATAATTTGTTCTTTTATCTAGAATAGCAGCGACAAACTTTCGAAAATAAAACTGCAATAATTTCATGATATCGACCTTTTGAGTGATGAATAATGTACTTATTCCCGTTAGCTCTTTGTCCCGTCTTGTTGTATATGACGAACTGCTTGCTTAGGCAAACAAGCCAGAAAGCCATGGGGAAAAAAGACATCGAAAATGAAACTGTAATAATTGTATCAAACCTGGCCCAGTTACTAGTACAATGAGTTATGACATCCACTTCGTGAGATGAATATATCACTTACCATTACGCATTATTTACGCTGTCTCCTTTTCCCCGCCTTCCTCTTTTCTTTTACCGGTCTTGTTTTACAAAAAATACGATAAATGCTTGACCCTCTCTTTTCTGGAGGACGTCCCTAGACAGTGCTTCACTCGAAATGTCTGTTTTTACAAAAAAGCTTAATTTCTACTGAAACAAGGTGTAATGGACCGCATGTAGTCATAACCAATTACATCTGAAATTGATCGTGGATAGCTCAGAGGCGAAGTTCTATATTCAATTTAAGGAGTGGACTGGAGAAAATATATATTTTGAGGGAAATTACCGGAGGAGGAAAGTTGTCGCTAAAATTATGGTTTATCTGTTGGCTTTGTTTAATTCGCCTAGGACTAATTAGTTAGCTTTAGGCAGACAATTAACGATAGCAGAAGATAGTGAAAGCACTGGCTTCTCAGATTTCATACGCTTACATCTTTAACTCCAAGGCAACTTTTTTTCAGCTTAGGGACACCCCCTCCAACTCGCCCTTTTACTTTTCTCTCTTTCTCTATCTCTCTCTTTCTTTTTGTTTTCTGTTTCGCTCTCAATTTGTTTATTTCATTCTTTGCATTTTTTTTCATTCGTCCCCTCATATTAGCTCTTCTCTCTCACTCTATTTCTCTGGGATTTTTCTTTTTCTGACTCTCTGTTCCCCCCCTCTCTCTCTCTCTCTCTCTCTCTCTCTCTCTCTCTCTCTCTCTCTCCCTCTCTCTCTGTTCCTACCGTAATTCTGACACGAAAATGCATTAAACGCTCTGAGAACTATTAGAAAAAATGTGCCCAAAGTGAAGCCATTTGTTTCATGAATAATTCACTCGTCATTGCTACATTCTGGGACTCGTTTCGCATTATGCCCATTTCAGTTATACTGAAATTTAAATCCTTTCAAATTTAGAAGCGTTGTATTCTTCTTCTTCTTCTCGAAAGCAATTCCTCTTTGCATTTTTGGCGTTTTGAAGTTGATTTCCAGGTGTCTAAGAGATGTGCTTCTGAAATGGATTCGTCTGAGAATTGCATCAGGTATCGGTCTGATGCCTTGACATTTCATGGAAACAGCGACAGCTCTTCAATTTGTTTCAACTCTCACATTTTGAGATAATACCGTCCCAAATCTCTTTAGTGACAATCCTTTCACATCACATGCGCGTTACAAGATGCATCCTTTTAAACACTCACAGGACTACGAATTCTTTGTTAGGATCTATTGAAACCATTCCCTCCTGGAACCGGATGCTTTTTATATTAATCCTATATTTAGAATAAGAGGATTGGATAGTCAGTGGAGAATTGAATTGGCTATTTCGAACAGTCTGGCGTTATCATGTTTATTAAAATGTTGTCAAAGCTTGGTGTATGGTCCCCAAGCACTACAGATCATGAAGTCTTTAAACAAAATGTTTGAAATAAGACTTTTAGATTTATGGTCATGGAAAAAATGCCGGAAAAGAAGTGAAAGAAGGTGAAAAGTAAACTAAGAGGTCTGTATATACAACGCTTGTCGTATATACATGACAATTATTTGTAGTACAGGTATATCCCTTTCTATATGTATACAGGTCTGTCTCTCTCTCTCTCTCTCTTTCTAAACTGTCTTTACATATTTATTTTTTCCTCTCTCTCTTTCTCTCTCTCTCTCTCTCTCTCTCTCTCTCTCCCTCTCCCTCTCTCTCTTGCTCTCTTAGGTAGTCTTCTTTTCTCCTTTCTGGAAATGATATGCCCCTCCCATATAATTTATGTCCCTAATTAGTCTCTAAATAGTCAATGAAGATAACTATCTGTGTTGTTTTTAATCTGCTGTTTCTCACTGTCACAGTAATTGGAACAGAAGATTACACCATTATCATTTTGATCTTCTGTTAACCTTGTAAATGACTTCATATGGTCTTTTAATATTTTAGATCATTTCCCAACCAGCTAATCAAGATTTGTAGTGCACTGGCGATTCCTTGGAAGAACATGCCAAAGAATGTGACGGGTCCATGCATGACTGTAAATCATTTAAACATTTATTGCTCGCGTTATCGAGGCTCTTTAAATCTGTTTTGCTTCTAAGGGGGTGTATTTGTTTTATAGATTTTCAAAATTGGTAAGCATTTTGCCCTCGACCGCCTCACGACACACGTTGACCATGGTATTGAAATTATGTTCGAGTGCATGGTTTGGTGTTGGGAGGTGAAGTGAGGAGGAGGGCCAAGGGCGTTGGCAGAGGGGGGCTGTGGCGATGTGTCCCACCGCCGTTTGAAAAGATTTCGATATTTAGGGCCTTGCCAGCAAATTTAATTTTAATATTTAAGTTTCTCTTTTATTTTTCTTAATTTTTTGCTTTTAAAGAAGTTTTTTAACCTTCGTCGGCAAAAATGGAAATCAAACGATCGCTTTTTACCCCGTTGAAAAATCGCTCTTCCGAAATGTTTACTCTTGTTGGTGAAGTTGGCCCGATAACACCCCCCCCCCCCCCCTTTTCCATAACAAAAATTGTCCGACGCCGCCCTTATTGAGGGTGATGGGACGATGTCGACCGCCGAACTGATCTGATCACCATGTAACTACTGTCTGACGAGTAAAAATCTGGAGTTCATACCTACATGATTTAGGGTTGAAACAAGACCA